CCCTAGCGCGGAGTGAGGGTTCTCGACCCCGCACAACATGATCTACTCGACCACCATAGGGGGGGGGGGGATGTTCATAGAAGCAAAAACCGAAATGAGAATTGGAAATGTCCACAGTGTGTGTTATGATGCCGGGGTGCGTTGAACAAAACANCTTCCAGAGACAGTTATAAGCACTGTGTAACTGCCTCGAAGGTGCTTGATCAATTGAACACNGAAGCAAAAACCGAAATGAGAATTGGAAATGTCCACAGTGTGTGTTATGATGCCGGGGTGCGTTGAACAAAACAGGTTGATGCGAAGGTGTACCGATTCAGGTAAAAGTCAATCGACGGATACCATGCGAATCGGGTCCTCCTTAACACTTTCCACCCACAGAATTTACCCTCAACTGGGAACCTCTTGTGGTCAGGATGGGTAATTCGATGGAAGTGTCACAAGGTTCTTTGTGGGATCGACTCTAAGAGGTGTTCACTAACACACATTTTGTCCATCTCCTGCCGCTGACGCCATATGCGAAGAACAACATATTCGCCTGATTGAGAGCGTAGCATCTGATTGAGAGCGAGATTGCGCGATACGCTGTAGCCGGACTACCACTGAGAGGTGGAGCTTGCTGTGTAGCTTGAATTGAAGGGCTAGCCCGTAGCTTCAAGCCGCTACCCTGGTCATCCTGTGGGAGTCTCTCGTTGTGGAGNCAATCAGATGCTACGCTCTCAATCAGGCGAATATGTTGTTGAAGGTGTACCGATTCAGGTAAACGTCAATCGACGGATGCCCTGCGAATCGGGTCCTCCTTAACATGCCATATAAGCAGGTAAATGGTAGAGACAAAAAGACAAAGACCCAGAAGACGGGAGACGTTTAGGGGGAAAGAAAGGGGGTGACAGGGAGAAAGAAATTAAGAGAGAAAGAGAGAGAGGTAGACGGCGGGAAGGAGGGAACGCTTCGTGAAGGCGTGGATAATCGCCAGCACGCTCTAGTTGAAAATTTTGTATTGAGAATAGGGCGAAGTGTACATTGTACTCCGCTGGCAGGCTCCCCCATTGCCGAAGATGGAGAAGACAAAGAAACATCGGAGGTGGACGGCCCGTTGTGCTAGAGTCTGCGCGAAAGCGAGGAGGATGAAGCAAGGGTTGTTTCCGGATATGTAGACCATGTGCTCGGCCCGTGGTCGTCGAGATATATACGAAAACAGGAAGCCTGCCAATTTTTACCTTGCGGTTTCGTTTCTTGAAACGGGGATAGACAACGCGTGTTACCTTGCCATGCAGCTTGCAGATCCGGGGTTTAGAAACAAGAAGTCGACGCTCGCAGACGAGACGGCATCCCAGACGTCGTCGAAGGCCAGAGGGACGGCAATGAAGCCCACACCTGAGTATACTTCGCCAATGGTCTGGTTGAGGTAGGCGCTGAACGTCGGCTCGAAGGACTCGAGAAATGCCTCAGCCCCTGGAAGCAGAGCAATATGCCGACATTCAATAGCAATGTGAGTGCCGCGTTGTGGGCATAGACAGACCCGATAATAGACATTAGCCTGGTTCTCGTCTAGTGATTTGTCCGAGAAGTGTCACGCAAGTTGGTGTACTGTAGAATCGACGCCTGTAAGAGAAGCGTTAATGCATGCGGTGAAGCCCCCAACGTACCCCCACGTATGGTGTTTAACGAACGCGTCGTCCGGGATGCCTCTGAACGATCGCGTGCAACTTCTCAAACCTATGGCTGCTAGATCATTCTGTTGATCAACCTTCTTAAACCACCCGTCGAGGCAACTACTGAAAGTATCCAATGGTGCATCCCACCGACAGTCGGAATACGCGTTTGGTATGGAAATGTTTTAGGTGTTGGGAAGAAACCACCGCAATCCCCGCGGGGTTGGGGACAACAAGATGGATGATGGACATGTTGGCTTTCATGCCCACGACGATGCATGTGCGACTGAGGCATAACAAGGCGGTGTAGATCGGAGATGCAGCGCTGCGCACCACACCGGAACGTTCACTACGCACTACACCACACACCCCAAGTTTCTACCCGAACTCACCCTGCTCCCGGAAATAACCCCCAAAATATTTCGTCCTACAAGCATGCCAACAATAATAGAAGGACAGCGCCACGTGCACGAAACAACATTCTCCTCACCTGCCAATACCCCGCTGCAACCAAAACGTTCTAGCGCCAACCTACCAACCAACTTGTACTGGTGCGCTGTTGTGTCTGTGGTCGTTATGTTGTAGTCCTGATGGTGCAATGCTGCGCATGCACACGAAGTACTGGTTTGTGCCTGCTGTGATTTTCTCAGGATCGTACACATCGGAGTCTTGGCACGGGGGTGCGCGTTCCAAACACCCCACATCGCCGCTTTGTATTTCTTCAGGATCGCACGGGCCTGAGTCATCGCACGGGGTGTGCTTTATTTTTTCAGGACCAAAGGTTTTGATCATGTTCCGCACAGGTATCGGGTGCGGGCGTCTTGGCACAAAACACGAGAATGAAAAAACATTAATAAAGACGACCGCGCAGGGTGCCAAGACCCGTATTCTTACGGTATTTTAGATGTGTAGTACAGGCAGAGTGTTCGTGGTCCTATGGAGTGAACGTCAAGCATTTTCTGAACTGCCGTCAGACCAATCAAACCCCGGCACACGTCTTAAAGTTTGGCATTGTAACCTTCGCGCCATCCCGCCCGATCCGTGCAAAGTACACCCACCCCTGACAGAGAGCATGTAGTAGACCCACCTGTAATGGCTAGTCCTCCTATGCGAAATGTTTTATTTTCCGCCGCCATCACATTGGGTGGCGCTGCGCCGCCTGATGTTGTTTCCTGCTGTGGAGAGAAAAGCTGACACAGACAGCACAATCGCATTCCTTCAGTGCATACATTCAGTACGTATCTCGAACGGGGAGACCGTCTATCCGTGTATATATTTTTTTCTTAAGTGGAACGTCACAACAACGGCAGTAGAAGCAGCAGTAATGTCGTCGCCGGCGTTGGTGTGTGGGGAGCGATCGTGGAGCAATCGTCCGGACTGCTGGGGACGACTAGCTTCGGAGAGCCAATGACTGTTGTATTCTCGTCCCTTACCTAGATCGTTCAGTGAAGGTATTGGGTTTGGTTGGGTGAGGCCTCCTGCACCGGCCTGTGGTCCCGCCCATTACTTTCCTGTTGATTGCCTGATCTACCATATATTACTTTGACCACACAAGCCTCTGAGCTAGGCCTCGCCCCACCTAAACTCAGGCTTCCTATCCCAAATAACAAAAAATAATAAGGGGGGGGGGGCTCGATCTCTGTATCCCCCCCAGGCCCCCTCAAATCTGGGGCGTCTGTCGCATGTCCCATGGCCCACATAATTCTCATTGACACTCCAGGGTTTGGCCCCGAAATTGTTATCTGCGTTGCCCCACTCCGAACCGTTCTCTTCACTTGGCTCGCGGGTAGGTTGCAGCCGACGGATGGCTGCGGACCCTTGATCTCCGTCTCACAAGTGTGGAGTGGATCATGCCTCCGGCCCCCGTGTTGCCGCCAGATGAGTCCGAGCGGACGCAAGTGAGCGCCTTTCCCGTGGCCTCTGGCCGGTTCCCTAGCTTGGATGAGGTCACACAGGACCCGATAGAAGGCGACCTACGCCGCTGGCCATGTTAGGTTCCCGTGTGGGATTCCAAGGGCTTCATCACAGGCTTCGTGCGAACCCATGCTGGTTTCTGGGAGGACTACATCCTCCGTGATCACCACGGGATACCTTGACTTCGTACATCCGGGATGGAGTAGACATTAACGACCTCCTGCTTCACAAATTCAGAGGCGCGTCCCCGTCTCTTCCCTACAATATTGGTCATTTCCCGCAGCAAATTTTCTCCAACCACCGTTGGCCGCCGGAATTCGACAGTTTCTCGATGCTGAAACGCAGTCCCTGCTGGCGAGAGGCTGCATTACACAGTGGGCTAACGTCAAGAGCCCCACAGGTCCGGTGCGTCCTCGCATGATCATGGCTTTGTTGGTGGAGGCGTCCAAACCGCGTCTTATCTTCGACGCTCGACCGCTTAACAGCTGCACACGAAGAATACCTTTTCCCATGGACACGGTAGCGCGCGTGGCTAGCATCGCGTCGTCAGGATGCTACATGACGTCACTCGATGACTCCTCAGCGTTTCATCATATTCTCATGCGGCCATCGCGCTGGCCTCTCTTCGGCTTTTCCTACGAGGCTAGTGCGTCCTCCCATTCGGGTTTAGCCTCAGCTCGTGCGTCTACCATAACCTCAGCGAAGTGAAGGCGACGTTTCAGCGTTGCGCCCCTCTAGCATACCTCGATGACTCTTGGCGGAGCAATTTCCTGGCCACATATGATCTGCTAGCGCGAGATCAGTGGTTGGCGGCCGGGTAAGCGACCCACTTCACCATGCTGATCTCGCTCTTCCGAGGACAGTTCCTGTCACTCAAGAAGTGCGAGATTCTACCAGTCACGGCTCTACAATACCTTGGCATCATCTGCGATCCGGAGACGATGACCTTCCAGATCACCCAAGAGAGTCTGGACAAGCCGCATGACTTTCTGCAAACAGCCCTGGCCGATGGGTGCGTGTCCTACCGAACGCTGCAGCGCGTTGCGGGCAAGTACATGAACATGACCGTGGCGATCCGACCGGCGTCGGTTTGGACGCATGCCATGTTTGCCGTTCTCCCCGCGATGGACAAAACCAACCAGCGTCAGGTCGATTGACACGTGATGCTTACGCGGATCTCGGGCAAAAGTTCGAGAAGTGCCTGTCGCTGACGGCCTCTTCACACGAAGGACCTTGGTAGCGAGCGAGCCACCTCATCGTCAAAATCGACGAGTCATCGGACGCGTCTTCCCTTGGCTGGGGTGGCGCTGTCAACATTGAGGGAGCCCAATACCGCGCTGGTGGCGTGTTCCCCTACGATTTGCTACGCCAACGAAACAACAACGAGGAGGTGTTTGCGTTGTACCACGTGCTGCGCCTTTTCTGTGTGCGTTTACCGACTAACTTGCAGCGAGCGCACGTGTTCACCGACGTCGACAACACCGCGGTGTATGGATCGTTCAACAGGGGGCGGGCGCGCGACCCTGCAACGCATGCGCTTCTTGTTCGTTTGTTTGAGCTGTATGCAGGTCGTATACGAGTTTATGCTGTCCCTCAAATGGGTCCCGTCGGCTGCCAAGCCGTCGCGGATGATGTCTCTCGCCCCTCGCGTGAGAGTATCATCAGGCTAACCCCAGCGGCCTTTCAGGCACTCTCGGAGGACATCAGGCCGTTTGCTATCGACCTCATGGCCTCCGATGCTTCGTCTCACGTTGCAATTGCGAGGGGTCAGCGGTCAGCGAGTGTGGATGTCTTTGCCCAAGACGTGTCGTTGCGCCCAGGTACCATGGATCGAGCGTTCGGTCATTGCCTCCCGCCGCCGGTGATGGCGGGCCACGTAGTGCAACACCTTGCGGAGTGCCACGCGCATGCCGTTATTGTCGTACCGGGTTCTAAGTCTACTGGCTCTTTCGGGTGCAGCAGGCTGCAGTGCGGGCGCGGGTGATCTCCCCGGTTAATGCGGGGCGTGAGGGGGGGCGCACTCTAATGTTTTGCATGTCTTAACGGTTGGGCCATTGACCACGCGTCCTCGAGAGGACGGAGCATTGTTCCCACAGGACCGATTGCCGATGGCCAATCGTTCCTTTCTACTTTGCCAAAGGTGACTCAAAAATGTCTTCCCTAGTCGGTCCATCCTAACGATATCTCTTCCCGCCTTTGCAACCCACCTCCTATGCCCCAGTACAGCTACCGTCCTTTCCTCTCTTTTCCATGCCTCAAACATCTCCCTGTACGTTCCATCTATTTTTCCCAGCTCAGTCACGTACACTTCCCTCTCCTTGTACAACGGACTTTCCGGCGACTATATGAACGAACACGGTCTTCGCATTCGAAGCCGCAATCACATTTGAACTCGTCGTCTTCCTCGTCGACCGTCCTATGTCTTCGTCGACGTTCCCGAAGGCCTATGTCCCCGGTCCTGAAGTTGACCGTCGGCTTTGTTCCTGCATCCATTGGTCCATGTACGTAATCCTTGAACCGTATTCCTTCCTTTAACGTTCCGTACACTTCTAGACCCTCCTTATGCTTGAATTCTTTCTTTAGGTTCTGTTCTTCTCTCTCGGCACAAGCAACAGACATCTTCTCCTTGAACCCCTGTAGACCCGTCGTTCCAGAGTTTCATCTTCGTCGATGTCGAGCCCCTTCTATACGTCCTCTACAACCATGACCCATTCCGTGGGTTGTCTACCCCTTTTTTTGTTTGCCCACTTCGCCTCCCATGCAATTCTCGGCAACCTTTCCTCTCCCATCCCGCACATGCGATACTGCCAGGTCAGCTTCCTCGCGTCTCTTCCCGACCGTAGGGATTGGATCCCCAATTCTGCCCTGACGGCTGCATTACTTGTGCGCCTGAAGCATCCTAGGATGATTTTCGCTGCTTTCATCTGCGCCGCCTCGAGTTCTTTCACTACCTTCGTATTTCCTCCCCATACTTCTCCGGCGTACTCTAACGGCGGTACGATTGCGCTCTTCAAAACCGTCAATTTGATGCGTGTATCGAGGTGCCGGTTTGCGAGTATTGGGTGCAGCTTCCCTGCTCGTGCTTGACCCTTTTCCGCTACCTTGGACATGTGTGCATTCCACGAGCAGTCTTTTGCGATCTCTACTC